AGATTAATTATCAAGGCATTATTTATTGGGAGGCATTTCTAACATTCCGATCATTTCTCTATCCACGTATTTACCAATCTGAGGAAATAGACCAGATATCAAGGTAAATACCCGAATGACGTACATAAAGTGAAGGTAAAATGGTAGTAAATTACATGAAATTTCATTGATAAATTAAACGGTTCGTGATCTGGCAATAATCCATTAACATTATTGGCCATTTGGTCATTTTACTTCTCCCCAGTATTAGATTACTTTACACATAGCAAAGATTTTACAACATGTTATATGGTTGGCTCATAAACATTAAACATTCAACAAATTCCATTCCTTTAATGTAAACAAACAACATGGTCAGATATTTCTTTTTTGAAATATCATTGTTAAAAGGCAATTAAGACCATTTCCAAACCATTAAATGAAGCTTAATTAAGCTAAACTTTTAATGATATGGGACAAAAAATCAAAACTTATCAAAATTATGATCCTCTTCATTTTTCTTTTCGCACCTGTTTCATTTCTAATCATTATCTTCATATTTAACAATATTCGGTTTATCTGTTTCGCTTCAAGTCATTTTTTTAACTTTATATTATTTTACATTGTTTTCATATATTCAATATATTTTGTGTTACAATTGTCATACAATTATAATGGCAAAAAAAGTAAAAAAAAAAAGATTTATGTTTTTATGATACGTCAATGATTCTACGATTTTGTGTTGATATTGGCTTAAAGCCATTGCTCTGGAGATGATTCCAGAAAAAGCCTGTTTTATATTGATGCTTTACAAATACATGTAGTATGAAATGAAATAGGTTTACTCCCACGACCTGAAATATTCCCCGAGATTGAGTTGATGTATTATATCAAGTTCCTGTCACATAACGATTTTTTTGCTCTTTTTATTTGACATACAATCCAACATTTAAGAAATATCCTTTGACATAAATGCAGACAAAACCGATTTTACAACCTTTAAATATTTCAGACACATTCTATGTTATTTGTTTTTGTATAAGACTTTATACGCACCCATCTTTCATATAAAAAACACTTACTACTGTTTATTTCTGTTATAACGTTTACATAAACATATGTATCTTCAAAACCAGAAACTGTATGAAACGTAAATTAAAGAAGAGTAAAAACATACCTATGTGTTGTTTTGAAAGAGGAAAACGTACTTAATGCCACGTTTATATGTATTTGTTATAATTGCCAACATGCACTAGTTTTTTGGTGGGTTTTTTTTTTTTTTTGCGTTTGTGTTTTTCTGTTTTTCACAAAAGATTTATTTTACATATGATACGTATATATTTTAAATTCTTAAATAATAATCCTATTCGTATTTATTATTTCTAGGTAACAATTAAAATGTTCAAATGTCAATAGTGAAAATCGGAGGCTGGATTTTATTTTGATAAAGAGACGATGACAAGTACAACATCTTTCATGCACCGGTTTAAGCAGCAAAACACCAAAAGAATCGAAGTCAATAATCATGAAGAACCTAAAAATAAAAATAAAATATTACATTTAATAAAGGGCGAACGATTTATTTTCGTCCAACATTCAACTTTATAATTTTTCATTAATATACATAGCATAACTTGAAACTAGGAACTTCAAGGTAGGCAAATGGAGCCACATTTGGTATTAAGTTAATTTATCCATGTGTTTGTGTTTTCTAAAATATTGTACTTTAACGTTGTAATACCACTCTTCTAAATCCGGTCACCGAATTGTTATATGCCAAAAGAAATATAAGCAAATATTTTACTTAACATATTAATATAAAGTTTGTAAACATAGTATTGCAAAAAAGACATTTTACCCAATTTAATAACATATCCAATATGATTAATTTCCTTTAAAAGGAAAAATGGGAAAGTTTTACGTCTGCTATTGACAAGCGAGTAAAATTCTTTCATAAACAGCACCGGTCACGTTTCAAAACATAAACATTTCACTTGCAATGACCTATATACCAGGGGCGGATAGAGAACATGGTTTCCTGGGGGGCTGACATATGGGTGGAAGATTTTGATAAAAATAACGCAACAGGCGAAAAATTGTGCACTTTTGTTTGAAGATTGGGTCAGCATCTTGTTCATGTAACAAAAATCGCAATTTGATGTGTTTTATAGGTCATCTTATTGGCAATGCATTTTGCTATATATATGTGTATATGATATAGTATGGAATTAAGAAAAAATATATGTAACTGGGGTGGGCCTGAGAAAATTTTGAAATATGAGGTTGAAAATGGTGTTATATATTTCCTTGACTTTCTAGTGCTGTTTATGGTACCTTTTGGATGATTTTACATCACACTGTATTTTGTATGCAAGGTCTTTCAAATAGAATTCCCCTGGTGTTTAGTAGTAAGCATTGTATGCGGGACCGTTGATTAACCGTTGAGTAATACTCATCTGAATAATAGACGATTTTCCAAAGTAAAGTGGTATTAACCCTTTACTTCATATATACGCGAAACAACGCACTTTCTACCCCCCACCGCTTTTTTAGGCGTCAAAGAGTGTCCTATTTGGGCCCGAAACACATGTTTTCGTTTCAGAAATGTTGCTAAAAAAATTGAGCACTTTTTCGGCGCCGCCCCATATCCAAAAGACACATCAGGGGGTTGCCATTTTTTATTATAAAAAATATAACTGACATAAAAAGTTACTAAAAGCAAATGACCAATCTTTTCTTCGTGATAAAAATCTAAGTTAGTTAATGTCTTAGTTATTTAAATGCGATTCCTGTAATATTATCTTTATAAAACTCGCCATTTTTTTTAATATACAAATAATAATTTTCAATTTATTAATTATAGGGCTTGCCTTAAGAAAATGGAAAAAAAAAGATTTAATATGGTGTACTTTTTAACATATCTATTTGCCACTATCTTTGACTATTAATTTTATTAGACCTTTGGAAAGTTATTAACCAATCAATTATGCAGTTTAAACATTGAAGTCAGTCAAGCATGTTGATAGATAAATATCTCTGCCAAGCCCCCAGGCAGGAGAATAACAACTGGATGACAGCAATTAATGTTTTGATAAGGGAGTACACTACAGCCAATAAAGTTTGAAACTGACAAAAAATATGTTCCAGCCCAGCTGGTAAACATATCTTAGGGCCAAGCTGGGGGGGCTGCAGCCCTGAAGCCCGGGCCTCAATCCGCCACTGTATACAGTTCCTAAGAACATGCCCTCCCAAGTGCATTTGACATGTGTGTTATATATTTAGGTTAGTTTTGATTTGGTTTACATGCATAATTATATATATGGATATAATCATGTCTAAATTACAATGTATGTCATGCCAAGTCCGGAATAAAATTAATCAAAACAATGGAATGAAATTAATCAAAACAATGTTTTATGAATTATTCAAAAACAATTATGAAGAATTATTCGGGTAAGAAAGTTTTGTGAGGAAAACTTTAAGAAGTACAAATGGAAATGACTCTGGTAAACAAAAATAATAAAACAATAATAGTGCACATAATATTATGATTAGCTTTTGGTTATATATATAACTGATATACTTTCCATTTTACTGCAAATGTAGTAAAATCGCACACATAAGGTTAACACGTTTTGCACTTCATTTCTGAAAACAATTAGGTATTATAAAATATGATAAAAAAAAACCCTAAAAAACAATAGATGTATTGATGTATGTGCACTAAATTCAGTGCATGATACAATGTCTGATAGATTAGTTAAGTGTACCAAATTTCACCTCTCTATATCAATTAACTTTTGGCAAATGCTCTGCACGTCTTAATTAAAAGTGCTCAAACACCAAGTTTCTCCTCAGTACCTCTTAAAATCAACATGCCAAAACTAAATTACCTTTGCACGTATGAATAAAGTGAGTATTTAATAAGGGAAGTACACAAATGGAAAGAAAAAGAATGTCCGCGTATTTGGCAAACTGACCAATGATAAAAATGTTTGGTATTTACACGCACCCGGAATTTACTATTTGCCTTCATTCATCACAATGGTTGAATATCAACGATCAGTTTCTGAAGTGTGAGCAAATATAACACTAACTAGCTAATCAGTAATATATGACCCTAAATGACAACCGGTTCTATAGCGTGTCATTATTGTTATTAACTTCTAACTATGTTTGATTTAAAAATATTTTTCTTAGGGTAGGACAAACCTAACATTGTTTCTTATTAGAAGAAACTTGGGCCTTATTTGACTTTATAATAAAATATCGGAGCTGCGAAATCAGGGGATTGATTGCTATTATTATTATGTAACCAGAAAACGTTACCGGTCATAAAACAGTGCTGTGAATTTTGCAGCTTCCGTGTTTATGTAAAAGTTTATTTAAAAAAACATTCATCTTTAATAGACAATAGATTAAGTTATATCTTAAATATTTTAAAACTGTTTATAATTATTTATGATTTGTATTTTAAATTGACTATTATGCTAGAAGAATTCATTATAACAAGAGTTTTAGACTGTCCCTCCTTAAAAAAAAAAGGAAACGGTTTTAAACATATGCCATTTTTTTATCATACAGAGTATAATACATATTATCTAATTAACTTTTTCTAATTAATTGTATCCTTGAAAACTTGTAACAGTCATGCAATTTATCTATAGTCATTTTGGCTAAAGTTAAGAGGTTTATTTTCCTAAAATACTTTATTCACATGCCTCACCCTTCACGACATAAAAAAACCATCTAAACGCATACACTGAGCTAAATTAGTTACGAAAATTTCGTGTGAAATTGTTTATAGCTTCTTTCCGAATACAATTCAAAATGATAAAAAATGCAGTCTCATCCCACTTAATGAACTTCTCTAAATAACAAAACATTGTATACATTCCTTTCCCCCGTTATATATCTTTATTATTTATATTGCCACTTCAAATTATGTACCTTAACATAAATATAGTCTATTTTATCAGCGTTAACGATTTACAATTACACTGTACTTCACTTTCGAACGCAATTGACACCCAGTTTCAGCTGATCTGTATTGGTTGACCTGAACACTATTGATTTAGGCGGGAATATAAATACAGACGTCTGCTAACGTTCTCTCAGTATAATCTTGAGAACAGACACAAGCGCAACAGACGAAAAATATAATTGGAATAGTTTGGACTGAAAAAATTTAAGGATTTTTTTTATTGAAATCAGGAAATAAAAAAGGAGACAAAATGATTGTTAAACTTAACCAGAATAAGATAGTGCAATGTTCAGTTGTTGGAGATGGACTTGTCGGCAAAACATCTCTGGTGAAAAAGTTTGTGCATAACAAAAACACAGACGACTATGTGGCTACAGTGTTTGATAATTTTGCAGGTAATTATTTGTGCATAAATAAATTAATATCAATTATATAGCTCTTATATTAGGCCTACCATTGCCATTAACATAACATAATTTTATCATGATTTCTACATCAACAAGTGTAATTTTTAATTAAGACAGAGTGCAAAAATAGTTTCTATAAATTGGATGTCGAAATTCAAATTATTATCATTATAGTGCATGTGATAGTATTTATCCTTTATCCCCTTTATTATCAAAAGTACCATTAATTGTTGAACAATATATTATTACTGAATCGTCATTTTACTTAATACATTAATTTTGTAATTGAAAAACAATGTATCAAAGATCATGAGTATATTCTATCTATCAAATTGTACTTATGTTTTGATTTTTTTCTTTTCTGTTCTTAGGTGACATTGCTGTAGAAGGAGAGAAATACACCGTCAGCGTCTTTGATACAGCCGGACAACAGGAATACGAAGGGCTACGCGTGTTCACTTACGCACAGAGTGACGTCATAGTCGTCTGCTATTCGGCAGTTGACCGCGATTCCTTCAACAATGTTGTCGACTTCTGGATACCAGAAATCAGAAACTACGTCAAAAACAGCAAGCCAATTATTCTTGTTGCAACCCAAAACGACCTTACTCATGGAAATGTTTCGACTGTAACAAGAAGCGATGGTGTAAAATTGGCGAATAAGATAGGAGCTATTTTGTTCGTAGAAACCTCGGTACACGATCGAGAAAGTATCATGACACTCTTTGAAAACGTTGTTGAAAATGCAATAAAAAGAAGGCGAAGAAAATCTAGCATATTTGAGAAAATTCTGAGAAGATGAAAAATTATATATCAAACAGTATTTGTTTGGAAAAGTGCAATAATTTTTCCGTGAATTCGTACGGTCAAACCCCCTGACGACGACACAGCAAACCTAAGTCGGAATGCAAGCTCAACGGTGACTTCGACTGGAATGGGTGATAATAAATATCAAATTATCCAGACATGTTAAATAATTTCCAGCCAATTGCCACAATAGCAAACGTACCTCCACCTACGAGGTTAAAAGTATTTATTAAGCAAAAATGTGATAATTTTCCATTATGTTGATGACATTGATCGTTCGGAACAGATCCAGTACAGCTGTTCGAGAATTAGTATTATGAACTGTTTGTGTACATTCCCGACGTTGTAATTGATTTTATTTATTTCTATGTATTGTCGACAACGTGCAATATTTTTTTCTAATCTTTATTTTGGTTTTCAACAAATGTCTATTTTTATAATAAATGTCATTTCATAATGAACTCAACATCTTTGTTATTTTGTGACCGTTATTTATTTATTCATTTATTTTAACTTTAAAGCTTGAAGAGGTTTCCGAACATTTCAATATTTACAGTAATGGCTCGTTTTGATTGGGCAACAACGGTTCTGATAAGGATTTAAATGATTAACCTAACCTGCTTTACATCGGTATGGTAGATCTTCGGACTGAAAATAAAATTGTAATTAACATTCCAATTTCTACTTAAAGTTTAGAGATAATTTAATATTCAAGTACGTATTGCATGTATACTGATTTGTATCATGTTAATTTCTTTTTAATAAATATGATAAAAAAAAGTCACAATACCAGTTTTAACAATTTTGCATTCCAAAATATGCAAGCAAATAACTGAATTTGTTACTTTAAATAGTTTTGTATGTCGGGTGATAAATTCCCGACAGGTACGTTCAAAGAACGCAGCACCCAAACAATACCTGCTACAAGCAGAAGATCTAGACCCTGAACAACATCCTAGCGAAATATTCGTTTTGCTTAAAAATATAATAACTCACGTCACGAGTATTTTCACCAGCATGTATATACAGCAACATAATTACCTAAAATTTCCCCTTCCAAGGAAAACAAGTCACTGTGAAAATTAAGAGAGTCTTTACATGATACATATTTCAACAATATCCCAAAAATATTCGTTGAAAGAAAAAAATAAATGCGTTCAATCATCGAAAAATATTACAATCCAAGACGAATGAAATTTAATTACATGAAAATGTAAATTGTCGATTAACATTTTTATGTCACTTCCTCAAAATACAGATGCATATATTATATATACCATGGGTAAATAGAATATAAATTAATGGGCAGTCACGTTTGTACACGACTTACTGCGAAATTGCTTTGCTCTCTGGTAAGAACTTCATCGCACTTGTTCACAATTATATCAGAGGTCACGATATGTGACTGTTTATAATCTTGTGGCTTCCTGTTAAAGTAATAAAAAAGGGACAAATAACTTTAAATGTTGAAACGATATAACATATAGTGCTACTTCAGCTATTGTTATAATAACATGTTGAAAAAAACTAAACGTTTAATTGAAAATGAGATACATATTTTATAGAGCAGAACAGAATACTTAATCTAGCGGCCTTCGTGATTATATTCCTGCGCATTTGAACTCTAACCGTGCATTATTCACAATCAATGCACCCAAATTTGATATTTAATTTCTAAAATAATTGATTAATTTTAAGGTATTTATAATATTGTAATAAAGTTCTGTCAATATGTCAAAATATGTTGTTGTGAAATGAAGAGATCATTATACATTGTCTAGTACAATACTGTTTCTATTGGACTCGTGCACAGCTGCAAAACGTTTACTATATGGCAATTGCCCCTCATCGCTATGGGTTCGAATCCCGATATGGACTTTGAATTATTTCATGTGAGGAAGCTATCCAGCTAGCTTACGGAACGTCGATGGTTCTACTCAGGTACCCGTTCGTGCCTGAAATAATGCAAGGAAGGGCAACTGAGGTTTTCCTCCACCAGTGAAGCTGGAGCATCGCCATATGACCTGTACTGTGTCGGTGTGACGTAAAACCCAATAAAACAAACAAACAAACTATATGGCAACTCGTGTGAATTCCTATAATTATATAGGCTAGCAAAAGAGATTTGCCGTTTTAGTATAAAAAATAAACACCAGCTTAAGACTTCTCCGGTTCAATGTTATAAGGTCATAGTACATTAAAGATATACTATATGCTCATCCTTCTGTAAAATAGTTTATTTTTAGAAATTTATTGAATATTCTTACTGAATATGTCTATTTTGAGTAAAAGAATGACTAAACAATGTATGGGAAGCTGTGTTCTCTATTACAAGTCAAGTAAAGAGACCGACGCAATACAATAAAGATTTGATATGGTTTTGGGAAAATAGAAACGCGGCTAAATTGATAAGATTGGTTATATTTAGATATCATATACTTCAAACGCTGGAAGTACATTTGTTATAAGATTTAAGATAACTAAAGGATATTGAGTGAGTGTAGGTTCAACACTGAATTGAAGGAGTTGATGAAAATATGATATACGAGCCTTATAGGCTATAATATTATTCTATTCAACTCGTTCAATAAATTTAGTAATGAATCTACAATAATACAATATTCTATTTATCATACATCGAAAATAAGGGCTTTTTTATTGACATACATTTTTTTCTTTGGCACACAAACGTAGTACATTGATACAACAAACTACCTTTTTATAGGAAATAGATGCGATATCTTTATTTTTAGTTGTAAAGATTTTTTATATTTAATTTGGTCCTATACAAACGGTTATTTGAATATATAGCGGCGGTTGTATTGCAAAACTATATATAAACGTCACAATTATCCAAGTGCTGTCAATTCATTTTTTCTGAAATATTGAACTGGTGCATTATATCTAATAGCTCACTTTGGGTGAGTCTCTTTTTTATCAGCTTAAAATTTTGCCATTAATTTATGTTTTCTTACAAGGATTCATATGCCTTTTGATTGGTTAAATAAACTATTCTATTCTATTTGAATTGATAATTATTTTTCAAAAGTTAAATAGATACACAGAAAACTTAAATATTTTCTATCCTATAAAGCGCCCAACGCTGTATTGAGAACCGAGTAGGCTACAGTTACGCTTTTCCGTGTAAAAAGAAACGTTTCGCTGTTTATCATCCTTCAATGGTACGGTGGTGTTATTAAGAGATCAAAAGATGGCCGAGTTGCGTGGCGTGAACTTGCTACAAAATGAGCTCGAAAGGGCAAAAGAAAGCTTAAAAGATGTTGATGAAAATATTAAAAAATTAACAGGAAGGGACCCAACAATACAACGGTAAACAATGCAGTTTAAATGCCTTGCTTTTTATAAACAGATCTTCAAAAAAATTGTGACTAGAGGAGTCAAAATAAATTTCACAGAAATTCAGTCAAAAAATCTTGATTTTAAAGAACGATTGCATTGTATCGTTCTTGTATAGTCACGCCTATATCTTAAATGCGAATAACTTTGTGTTTCAACATTCTGATAAATGGTTATATAACGATACGTCCCACTGACGATTCGCCCCGTAAAGACTCGCCCCAATTTACTGACAATAAACACTGATACACTCCACTTTACTGACGGTTCTCCCCATCGTAAAAATCGTATTAAACAAAAAGGAAACATTGTTTTGTTAAAATGTGTGTAATAACACTTAAATGTAGTTTAAGAATTAAAATTACTAAAGATATTGTTCACATTAGTTGAGATGGAGGTATTTACCAGTATGTGTTTGTCACATACAATGAATATTTTCTTATGGGAGGGGGGGGGGGGGTGTGGTGTGGTGTGAATCTGGAAGAAAACAGCATAATGGTTTGATGATGTAGGGTTTTTGAAATTATATTTCAAATCTTTTCAATCACTTTTATGGTACAGTGTATTCCATTTGGGACATACTAACTACCATTTTCCTGAATAATAAGCTTTTTCTCTGTTCAAACTCCGACTCTCAAACCCCTAGCTTACTCTGCTAATAAACATCATATTCGTCAACTGCATAAGTGCAGCAAAGATGGCTTAACATATTCAACGTGCTCTGTGCTCCTACTTTTCTGTGCTTGGGAGTCCAAGGATTCCTCCTTTGAAAATCCTAGTGAGAACCCTGCTTAAGTTATTTCAATTGGTCAGCATGTTCTTATGTTTCTATATTGATGGTCTCACTAATTTAAAGAAAGACATTCATTTTTACATTCAACCGAGTTATTATAAAACAATGCTTGAAATGTCTGGACCGGAAAAATATCATCCGGGCTGAAAAAAAACCTAAGGGTCTCGGTCCTTGTGGCCTGAAAAAAAATTTGACTTTTGCATAGACTGCTAATGTCATAAATATGACGCTCATATTAAAATTTATCAATATTGTAAATTTCAAAAAGCATTATTTATAAAGATATTACGAGTTAAACATTTCATGAAAATAAAGGGAGGTAATTAGAAATTTATTTTCTATAATTTATCAGTCAATTTTTTCAATAAGAAATGAATGTATATAATTTTAGTGATCAAATATAATGTGCACAAATGTTTGCAGTACATATTTTACATATTCTTCGATGTTTGAAAATTGTTTTATAAGCATAATTATATGCACATAAATGTGACATTACAACATACAAGATCTAAGTGGGGGCCTCCGTGGCCGAGTGGTTAAAGTCGCTGACTTGAGATCACAGGTCCCTCACCACTGTAGGTTCGATCCTAACTCGGGTCGAAATCTTTCATGTGAGGAAGCCATCCAGCTGGCTTACGGAAGGTCGGTCCGCTCGTGCCTGAAATAATGCCCGGAGGGGCACCTGGGGTCTTCCTCCACCAATAAAGCTGGAAATAAATCGACGAAAAATCTCGGCGGGACGCTCTAGGATGACCTGACTTGAGTGTACGGTCGCCCATATGGGCTTTCCGGCGGCGACCTTAAATAAACGCATAAAAAAAAAAAAAAACAAGATCTAAAAAGAATTCCTGTAATCATTTTAACAGAACAGACAGATATTGTTCAGCAATATCCAATGCAACTTTATCTTCTTATAAAAGTGAGGAATGTATATAATAAAAAATTAATTTATTCATCATACTTTTTCTTACACATTATTATCAATAAATCTACATGAAAATAAATAAACAAATATTTAGAGAAAGCTTATAAATAGATTAATTGTGTTTATATTATAGTTAAAGGATGTATAGCCATGCATGTTAATACATACACATTGTTTTCTTTCCCTTCTCCCTATTTTTCGCGAGGAAGTCACTTCTCCCTAAAATTTCCCCCCAGGATGAGCCCTGTTTAAGTGATGGTTTTGAAACCTTTTGCCGTAAGTAGAGCAAAATAATGGGTAATATGTTTGCCTGCTGAGTGCTCTTCATCAGAGGTTCCCTGACCTTTTATATTTGCATCATGCCAGGAGGAATAGGTACCAGCAGGTTACTTGCACTATTGTTTACAATAGCATGCCGGGAAACAGTTTTTCTGGTTTCCTGTCTCATGGTTACCATTTAAATTGACATTCAGAATCCCTTGCAAATTACCATTAATCCAAATGAGATATTAAGTGAATTTATCTTCCAATCTCTGAGGGTGAATTCAATTTAGATATCATATAAAACAAAGTAACATATTTTGAAAGTAAAACATAGTGTGTGGTGATGTTGTCTGTTAAGTAGAAAGTGTGCAGTTTGATCTTAGTGTATTGTAATAATAAAATTGTGACAATAGATGAAATCATATTAAAGTTAAACCCTGTGTTTTATAAAATCCATTTGCATTTTCAGACCACAGAGACGTGTTTCTCTAGGGAGTTCAGAACCACAAAGTCAAAGGGGTGGCAAATCTGCAGGAGCTGAGAGAATATTCAGTCTTGCGAGGTATTTTACTTTGACAACATTCTTTGAAGTTTTTTAAATGTAATTTTGTTGTCCAATTAAACATGGTATGAAATTCTATATTTTTATGTAAGTATCCCATCGAAAGTGATATGTATGATTTCTTTAATTTGCATTTTTGGTTAATATGCAGAGCAACAGATAAGGTGCGTATTTACGCAATTAATTTTATAAAATACGCAATTGATTTTTTAAGAATGCGTATCAAAACCCATTAAAAAAAAAAAATACGCAGTTGATTTAAAAACCCGTGCGTATTGTCATTTTCATCACCCCAAAATTAATCTGTCGTACGCTCGTATTTTTGGACAAATTTAATCGATATGCATACTATCCGTACGGTATCCGGTCTTCGAAGGTCCCCGGTCTCCAAAGACTGACTAAGCCATATCAATCAAGCAAGAGACAGTCGATTTTACTACTCAGGTCGATGGTCTTTACAGACCGGCAGAGACCGTTGATTCTGCGGAAACCATCAAAAAGTAGGTCCCAGCTGTATCAATAGACGCTTTGAAAGCAATATGGCGTCGTACAAAAGGGAAAAACAGTCGTAAATAATCACAAATCAGTCAGAAAACGAACTTGTTAAAAATATTATGAAATATAACATGAGCATTTTATATAAGAAATAAAACAATTGTGAAAAGTTCTAGTAAATTGCTAATCCTATGTTCTTTTTAAAACAGTTTAAATGATTTTGATATTGAAACCATAAAATTCATATCTTCATAATTGAATACCCAATTGATCCTGAAATCATAGGGTATCGAGTTTTGGAATACCCAATTAAATGGAACCAATACCCAATTCCAAAGGAAATGATTGAGTAATACCCAATTCCCTTTTAAAGCTTATCTGTTGCTCTGAATATGCAATGTATGTTTATATTTTTTCATAGTTGTGTTCAACAGAAATATACATATTTGTTTTGTTTTTTTATTCTAGGAGAGGGATCCAGATCGTGCCGGATAATGATGGGCCCAGGCGAAGAGGGGGAGGAGCATTTTCAAGGTACACTATTATCTAGGGTGATTTTATCCCTTTAATTCTGGTTTTAGTATTCATTTAAAATCCTTGATTGATTTTCTGTATAATTTCAAATTATATTATACATTTTGAGATATTGTTTGTCCTGTGTTTTTGTTTTTTTGTTTTAATTTTATTGTTATATTCTTCAGGCTTGGGCCTCGCCCAGGAGGACGTGACAGAGGAGGAAGGGGGCAGGACAGTGGGGATGAGGAGGATTCCAGACACAGGGTAAATTACATATGATAAACATGTTGAAAGGTATCCAAGTTTGAATTAAAACTGTTTACTTTTCATTTTTGGGTCATTTTGCACAATATAATTGATTATTCTGGAAATAACAGAGTGAGGGAATGAAATGAAATTTTGCATGCGGGCTACTGGTCCAGAATTCATCAAAAGGTATACAAATCTTGTTAGCTCACCTGTCACAAAGTGACAGGGTGAGCTTTTGTGATCGCTTTTCGTCCGGCGTCAATCCGTCCGGCGTCCGTAAACTTTTACTTTAAATGACATCTCCTCATAAACCACTAGGCCAATTTCATCCAAACTTTACAGGAATGTTCCTTTGGTGGTCACCTTTAAACATTGTTCAAAGAATTTAATTCCATGCAGAACTCTGGTTGCCATGGCAACCGAAAGAAAAAACTTAAAATATCTTCTTTTAAAAACCCCAAAGAGCTAGAGCTTAGATATTTGGCATGAAACATCATCTAGTCAGTGTCTACCAAGTTTGTTCAAATAAAAGCCCTGGGGTCAAAATTGGCCCCGCCCCAGGGGGTCATTGATTTTCCCTATATGCATATAGTAAAACCTTAAAAAATCTTCTTTTAAAAAACCCAAAGAGCTAGAGCTAAGATATTTAGCATGAAACATCCTCTAATGGGTGTCTACCAAGTTTGTTCAAATAAAAGCCCTGGGGTCAAAATTGGCCCCGCCCCAGGGGGTCATTGATTTACCCTATATGCATATAGTAAAACCTTAAAAAAATCTTCTTTTAAAAAACCCAAAGAGGTAGAGCTTAAATATTTGGCATGAAACATCTTCTAGTCAGTGTCTACCAAGTTTGTTCAAATAAAAGGCCTGGGGTCAAAATTGCCCCGCCCCAGGGGGTCATTGATTTTCCCTATATGCATATAGTAAAACCTTAAAAAATCTTCTTTTAAAGAACCCAAAGAGCTAGAGCTAAGATATTTAGCATGAAACATCCTCTAATGGGTGTCTACCAAGTTTGTTCAAATAAAAGCCCTGGGGTCAAATTTGGCCCCGCCCCAGGGGGTCATTGATTTACCCTATATGCATATAGTAAAAACTTAAAAAAATCTTCTTTTAAAAAACCCAAAGAGGTAGAGCTTAGCTATTAAGCATGAAACCTTTTCTAGTGGGTGTCTAACAAGTTTGTTCAAATAAAAGCCCTGGGGTCAAAATTGGCCCTGCCCCAGGGGGTCATTGTTTTTCCTTTTATGTATATAGTTTAAACATAAAAAATCTTCTTTTAAAAAATCTTAAAAGCTAGAGCGAAGATATTTAGCATGAAACATCTTCTAATGGGTGTCTTCCATTTTTGTTAAATTAAGGGCCCTGGGGTTGAAAAATTGGCCCGGCCCCGGGATCATTGATTTTCCTTTTATGTATATAGTAAAAACTGAAAAAATGTTCTGTTAAAAAAACCAAGAGATAGAGTTTACATATTAAGCATGAATTATCTTCTAGTGAGTGTTTACCAAGTTTGTTCAAATAAAAGCCCTGGGGACAAAATTGGCCCGCACAGAGGGTGTGGGTCATTGTTTTTCACTATATGTGTTTAGTAAAAACTTAAAGATTTTCTTAGAGCTAGAGCTTAGATATTTATCATGAAACATCTTCAAATGGGGATCTACCAAGTTTGTTCAAATAAAAGCCCCTGGGTTAAAATTAGCCCCGCCCCGGGGGCCTATATACAGGTGAGCGATTTCAGGGCCATCATGGCCCTCTTGTTATGTATATCTAGTCGAGTCATGTAAAAAAACAAACTAAAGTGGAGTCCCTTTTATGATAAATATAGTATAATAATTGATCCATCTTGCTGTGTCTGCCTAACTGACTAATAAATGCTTGGATTACTTATCAAAGGGACACTAAAACATAAAAAAAAATGGAAGGACAAGTGAATTTATTTGTCACAGGAAGACAAATTTAAGTTAATATTTGATTTTATACTTACAGCCCGCTGTTCAGTCCTCGGTGATTGCCACCCCAAAAGAAGACAGAAGTCGTCAGAACTCAATAGAGGAACAAGCAAGAGATAGGAAAGGTCAAGCTAGGTAAGTTATGACACCAGTGAGAGACTATTTTAAATGTAAGTATGGCCCCCATACCTAAAGAAGCAGATGCTTTCTTCCCATTCTTGGGTAATATAAAATATATGGTTGATGTCGGACTGAAGAAGGTTTAAGGTGTATTGGGCGAGCTTGAGCAAGTCAAGATTCATTTTTCGAGCGGACCAGATAAACCTTCTCCATCCCAACAATAACCATGTGTTTCATTTATCCTGCCTTTTGTGTAGTTCAATCATGTTTTTAGATTATTTAAACAATTTGATTCTTACATTTTTCCTAGTAAAACAGCATCTATATGTCGTTTTGTTTTGCTGCTACCAATGTGACCTCATCATGGGCTAACCATTTGACGTTATGACTGGAGATAGATAAGTTTATCCAGCAAGGCTTTAATGTTGCATCATAGGGCAGTATGGGTATTTCATACTTTTAGGTGCATAATTCATTTAAAACTGGCATGGGGACTATATTTAATTATTTTAAGCTCTTTTAAAACATAGCTTAAGTATTGTTTTATCCTTACAGAAATCGTAGAATGTTTGGCTTACTGTTGGGTACCTTACAGAAATTCAAAGATGAGTCAAAAGAAACAAAAGACAAGGTATGTTATTACCATTCAAACATCAGTACAAGATTTTGTAAGTAACAAATAGATTCAGGGTCACCAACTTGGAATAATTTTAACGTGGCATCTTTGACCAAGTGGTTCTACAGGCAAATGCCACTCACTGCTTTGGATTCACATCCTGCAACATACTTTGAACTCTTTCTTGTCAGGAAGACATACAGCTTATGTGGAGGGAGCTTTACTGGAATCCCTAGTTGAGTCAGTCAGTTTGTCTTCATCTCCAAGTTGTTCGCTCTATTAATCCAATACCCATTGAAAGATTGTCTTCAAATTTGTTTTGTACATTCACCTCAGTGCAGAACCCTTCAGTGTATCTGCTCAAGGTCACTCTTGAATATTCGTCATATTCAGACAAATCCTTAACAATGTTCTCTTCAAATTTGGCTCAAATGTATCCCTCAGCAAAGTGATGTGCAGAACCCATGCCACTTCAAACTCAAGGTCACCCTTGAAGACCCAATGTCAGAAAATTTTATGCCTGTATTATAAGTTCTTTAAACTTGGCTCAAATATCTTGTGTTATGGAGATGGTGATGCAATTATCACTCCTGTTGCAGCTCTACTTTATATAAAATAAGATTAAAAGGAACTTTAACTACTGTATATCTAAATATTTGTCTGGTGGATGTTCTGAGAAATTTCAGTACATATATATTTGTGTTTGATATAGGAAGAGCAGAGGATTAAGATAGAGAAGAAACTTGAAGAGAAGTTTAAACAAGAGAAGGAGGAGATAATCAAGGAGAGAAGACAACTCTTCCTTGAAAGAAGGAAAAAACAGTTTCGTATTCGTCTGATAGAGCAAAAAATGGAAATGGCTCAAAATGTAAGTTGTTATCTTAATTTATTTAACTTTTTATGCTCCCCGAAAAATTTCGGGGGAGCGTATGGTTGCCGGGTTGTCAGTCCGTATGTACGTACATCCCGAATTTGTGTCCAGCCCATATAATAACTTTGTTATTTGAAGTCGGATTTTACAACTATTTCACAGAAATGATCACCATATTGACACGACATGTCGCATGCAACATTTGGGTCGCTACCTTGAAGGTCAAGGTCACAGCATGACCTTGAAGCAAAATCGTGTCCAGCCCATAACTTCCTTATTTGAAGTCAGATTTTACAACTTTTTCACAGAAATGATCACCATCTTTTATGCTCCCCGAAAAATTTTGGGGGAGCATATAGTTGACGGGTTGTCCGTCAGTATGTACGTCCCCAATTCATGTCCGACCCATAACTTCGTTATTTGAAGTGAGATTTTACAACTATTTTACAGAAATGATCACCATATTGAGATGACATGTCACACGCAACATTTGGGTGGCTACCTTGAAGGTTAAGGTCACAGCATGACCTTGCAGTCCGGCTCCTAAATTCGTTATTTGAAGTTGGATTTTACAACTATTTCACAGAAATGATCACCATATTGAGACGATGTGTCGCGTGCAACATTTGGGTCACTACCTTGAAGGTCAAGGTCACAGCATGACCTTGCAGCAAAATCATGTCCAGCCCATAACTTCCTTATTTGAAGTCAGATTTTACAACTATTTCAAAGAAATGATCACCATATTTTATGGTCCCCAAAAAATTTCAGGGAGCATAAAGTCGCTATGTTGTCCGTCAGTATGTATGTCCCGAATTCATGTCCGACCCATAACTTTATTTGAAGTGAGATTTTACAACTTATTTTCTAGCAAGAAATGATCACCAAGATGACTATGTTTGCGCTCAACTATTGGTATCTATCTTGATGGTCAAGTCACTATGATGACCTTGCTATCGCAAAATTGTGGTCGTCTTATTACCTTGTTTATTGAAGGCAGATTTTCAATTCTTCACAGAGACTGATCAACTATTGAGATGAATGTGGGGCGAAAGTCGGTAGATAGATTCATTTGGAGTGAATGTGCCACGTGCAAGAACAGTAATCTGTTGCATATTTGGAAATTTCATAACATTTGAACGTGGGACATAATCTCTGAAACTACAAAAGATATACTTTTCTGTGTCCAAAACCTAGTCGGGGAGCATAACCCAGTTCAACCGGCTCTTGTTTAAGTCTGCAACTTATACCTAGCTATAATTTATCTGTATTTGAAATATAGGGAGAATTTGGATGAGGAAAAAAGTGAATCTTAACTACATGCATAGCTATGTTCTAATATAAATAGATGTTCAAAAAGTAATGCAAGGGAGGTTTATGTACAGTTGACTCTCAATAAGTCAAAATCGCTTTACTCAAAATTCCGCGATAGTCAAAGAATTTCTAAAGTCCAGTCAAATTTCCTTCTTTATCTTTGTATTTTAAGTCTGCTTAGGTCAAAGTTTGACTTACCAAGACTCTATGCTTAGTGTAAAGAAATTTGTCCGTCAATTAACAGTCAACTATTTCATCTAATAGATGAAGTGTCTAAAACACCAGACTGATCTCAAAGTTCGGGATGTTGTCATTCATGCTTACAGTTTCATCGGGGTAATTTAAATTGTCCGGTCATCTATTGTATTATAAACGTCATAAAATGGCTTTAATAGTTTGGACTTAATTGGTTGTAAGTTAGATACTAATTAAGATTTATTACCATTCTCTTTAAGTAAAGTTGAATGTGCAGTCTGAAAGGTTGTTACTCAAATTAAAGCCATGTATGTGATGTGTGGTATAAACTTAAGATGAATTTTAAATTATGTTCCGTCATATTGCATACATTACTTATTTATTGCCGGTTCAAAGATAGTTGTACTTTTTTGTTTTCGTCCGACTCAATTCAATTCAAATATGAGATAAATTGTTGTTGAAGATAGAATTATGTATTGTGGCTCTATTCATGAATTGTCAATAGTGCTTATAAAAATGCATGTTGTTTTGATGAATACTGATAACCTTGCATTTCATGTCATTGCTACGAAGTTTGTGTTCACTAATAAATTACATGGATTAAATTTTGAATAAGTATAGGTTTTTGTTCATTTACAATTGTTAGATGATAAGTGATTTACCTCTTTTATTGGTTTAAGATATTGCAGCATTGCCGCTATTCAACAATATACACCTACTTCTTTGACATTCAATTACCATGTTATTACATTGTAGAATGTCAATGTAAGTAGGCAGCATCATGTTACTTCGAATTCCGTTTCTCTCGAAGTAAAATGCCCAGTCCCTTGGATTTCGAGTTATCGAGAGTCAACTGTATTAGAAAGAGTAAAACAAGGGTGTAAACTTTGTTAGATACTGGGGTAAATTGTACCAGCTATTCTAAACACCTATAGTGTCTGTCATAGTTTACAATATATGTGAGATGTGAGAAGTGAAGATTGTACCTCTTATTTTGTGAACCATGAAATATTTTTTAACAAGTATGTGTCATAGGTCTTCATCAGGTTAAATATGATAACTAGTAAAAAAGATGGTGTTCAAGAAGATGCGTAATAAACATTATAGAAATGAATTCATGTTGTATGAGAAATTACTTATGGGTTATTATAAAACGATCTATTTTTTTTTTACGCATGAAGAAAAAAACTTGGCAGTAGAAAACTAGAAAGTTGAGAATTTCATCGCACAAATCCAAACCACATTTTTGTTTTCAGCTAGGATTCTCACTCTGATACGAAAGTAAACTGAGGATTAAGAAAGCTGTAGATGGATTTTATTTGTTGTTTATTTTAGCTTTCTGATTTTAAAAGATGTTGAGTTCATTTGATCACTGGGTCATTGTCATGGCCTGCAAAAATTTTCATGTAGCCCCATTACTCAAACCTTCAAAGGTATCAATACTGAATATACTTTTGTTTATTTTGACAATGTCAATTTGCTAGAAACACTTGGATCAAACAAGGTGCATTAATCTTGAATGAAATATTTTTAGGAGTTCTGCCCTATATTATACATTGAATATTTAAATTAATTAAATTTGAGTAAAGCACCTAGAAAATCAAAAATTTGTAAATACGAATATTTTAAACACTTACAATGACATAGTTTTGACTAGCCCGCTTGCAGAGCTCAACATAGTTGTCAAAATGGTGATTTGGCATGTCTGCGTGTGTCCGTTCAGATTATGCTTGTCTGGGGTTTAACTCTGTCGTTATTTGGCATAATTTCAAGTAACTTAGCACAAATGTCCACAATGAGACATTGTGTCATACGCAAGAACTGTGTGGCTAGGTCATACTTTAAGGTCAAATGCAAAAAAAATGGTCTCAAACAGCTTGTCCACTTATGGAATTTAAAATAACCTGGCACAAATTGTCAACATCATAAGATGGTGTGTCCCGTGCAAGAATGCTTTGGCTAGGTCAAACGTCAAGGTCAAAATAATCATTCACTCACTGATTTTATTTTACTTTGAATATAGCAATGATTGAAGAACGTCGCATGAAGTTGGAGGAGGAGATAGAGCATATGATGAATCAAGTCCATGATTTCAGAGGAGATGAAGAGGAAGAGGATGGTGACGCAAGTATGGGGGAGGAGGACAAAGGGAGTGATGAGGATGGTGATAGTGATGGGGAGGGGGGACATAGAGATGATAAAGAGAATAGAGATAGAATGAAAAGTGAGATTGATGAGGACTTTTTGACTGAGAGAGAGTTGAGAGATAGAGAGAGGGAGCAGAGAGACCGGGATAGAAGGCTGAAAGATATGAGGAGGGAAGAAAGGGGAAGAAAGAGAGAGGACAGGGGTGATAGGAGGCCGGATGAGAGTATGGATAGGGGTAAAGTAGGTATGGATAGGAGTAAAGAGAGGGAGAAAGACAAGAGCCATGCAAAACATCGAGATAGGACTCGTTCTCAATCTGGAAGTCGAGATCACAGCAGAGATAGACATAGGTCGGGCAAAAGTAGATCAGAGAAAAAAAGTAGACATCATAGTGAAAGTGAGAGACACTCATCTAAACCTAAACGAAGGTCTAAAGGTGAAGGTAAAAATGAGAAAAAAGAGAAAGTATGGGAACCAATGGAAGATGAAGAAGAGGAAGAATTTGTTGGAAGCAAAGATAGTGGTGAGAAAGATTTAAACATTCAAAGTAAAATGTTAGACTTGGCAGGCATGGGGGATATTATTAAGGAGGGAGACAGTAAGGATGAAAGTGATGCAAGAGAGTTTGATAAAACCAGTTATTTAGAGAGTCATGGTATACAGGTGGCAAATAATGATATGCCTGCTGAACAGAATGTAATACCTGAAACTGAAAATACAGAAAGTGACAATTTTCAGGAAATGTTAGGAAATGCAAACACGGATCATGCTTCCGAGTCTAATGCAACATAACTTTCTATTTTGATTTATTTTAACATACTGAATTTTTCTTAACTGCATGCAATCCTTTAAATGTAAAATTTTTCATATGTACATGCCTGTTTGAACTATTCTTACTGTTTACTCATCATAATAAAGTTACAAAACTTACAGTAATCATAATTTTTATGGTAATTGATCACAGATCGCAGATCAGGTAAGTATTTACATTGGATTTTTATATAGATTGATGGTTTCACTCAATAATGCACTTATCTTACTATTACATGGGTACAAGTTTTCAGGCATTTTCCATAAGTTCTGGTTTTTTATACTCCTGAAAGCACTCTTAATATATAGAACCAATTAAAATAATGTTAAATTCAGACTTTTCAGGCTTTTAGAAATTATGAACTTGCACCCATGCTATTATTTTACTTATGCAAATAAGTAAGGCAATAAATATAAGTTAATTTGAAAGGAAATGTGTCTCATTAACAATCATTATGGAAAGTAAATGAGTAATTAGTATTGCATGGAATTCATTGAATTAGAGAGAAATTGAAGTACTTCCTTTGAAATCCATTGGTTGCATATAGAGAAATGGTAAAGAAATGCCTGGGGGACAATTGTTTAATGAACATTTGTGAAGTAAACAAAAAACATGGTCATTGTTTGAAAATAATATTTATCATTCAATTACCTGAATACTAAGTAATGTGTTTAGCATGTGTTTCTTTACCAATTCAGTATATATTTATGTTAAAAATTGTTGATATTGAACTTTATCTCCTGCTCACTGTATAAATTATTAACCTAGAAGAATAATGACTCTATTTACAATGAAACTTTAACTAGTGTGTAATGAAACATTTTAAAATTTTTAGAACTTGGCGTTTGAAAATTGCAAATTATGAGTACATGTTTTTCTAAAGAATTTTCTTTCTCATTTGCTACATTGAGATAGGTGAAAGGAAAATTGAAAGAAAAACACATTTTTTCAATTTCTTGAACTTTAAATATCCGCAACTTACACAATGAAATTTCATATAAAACATTTCAGAGTTGTAGTTTTTCACCATTCTTAAAATAGATTTTTAATGAGCCCAGTTATATTAAAAGTATTCAATTTTGAAATTAAATTTGTTTTTAGTATCAGGTGAATACGTCTTGTATTTTTTCATGTTTTATTTTGATATGTTAGTAATTTATGTAAAAAATGTATGCAGAAAACTATGTTGAAGTGATTGATTGTCAAGATTACATCAAAGATTAGGAAATACATGTATGCGGAAATACTGGCCATTAATGCTTGTGAAATGAAAAATTTATCATGTCAATTTTGTTAAAAAAATTCTTGTCCTGCTTTGCATAATTTTGATTAAAGGTGTCACAGTTTGCAAAAATGATGACCATTTAAATGATGACTTTGTATCTGGGTTAAATATTTTATAGATCATACCTTAAAAAATCATGGATTTTAAACAGTATCTTGTTACAGAAAACAAAGGTATGTTTAAAGTCTTAAGGTATGTCAATCTTAAACGTATTTGGCTCTTTTTGTAATACTTGCCTCAATAACAGGTTTAATATCGAGTTTTCGAACCGGTTTATGACTAAAAATGGACCAAACCATCGGGACTAACACTATGATAATATAAGACAGGCCATTGTTAACAGCTTACTGCTGAAATTAGGAGACATCAGTATAGTGTCTGGCTGGATTTTTACACTACTGGTATACTTTAGTCGTATTTGCTGCTCTGATTCAAATCTTTAAACTGAAACAAACAAAATTTTGCTAGCTTTTTTAAGTGTATAATTCTTCTCCAAGCCCCATAATATATATATATAGTTTATATTGTGTGTGGGCTCGTCTGTGTGTGTAATAATATTAATAGATGGTGTGTACACTAATGTTTTTTATTGCGGTAATTATTGATTTCAGCAATGAGTAATGAAAAATTTGAAGCATTGTACCAGCCGGTGAATTAGTGGGTGTGTGTGTAGACAAGTGTGTGTGTGTGTTTTTATATAAAGTGATGGAAACAGTAATATTTTCACAAATGATATTCTATAAATGACCATATGGAGTCTAAGAGAGTGTTATATAGGAGTCCGAAAATGATTTTGTGTGATAATAGAGTGTGATTGTATATACTTGACATCAAACTACTTACACACCACAATATTTGTTATTATCCAATATGGTGGGGTTGTGACTCGCGAAGTTTCGAAATAGAGAGTAATATGGTTAGAAAATCTTAAATACCAAGTAAAACAACAAGAAATGAAAGATCAAAGTTAATGCGCATAGATATGAATAATATAACCAATTTGTAGGCTATATTAGATTACACAAGGACATTGAAAATTTATTATAGTAACGTGTTGCAGTTTGATAAGCATTCATATACTTTCTTATATTGTTTGTTGTAAGGCAGGGTGTTTATATTTGTTACTTTTGTCCAAAAATATATATGTAGACCATAGTGTAAGTATTTGTTTTTATTTATACAAATGGTGAGAATGTTAATAGTTAATAGGTCATTGCGGGTTGATTATGGTCGTTTACTTCAAACACTTGCCCCTCACCGCTGTGGGTTGCGAATATCCCGACAGAGACATAGGATTCTTTTTATGTGATGTAGACTTATCTAGCCAAGCAAATTGAAAGTATGGTAGGTGCTCTACATGAGGTTTTGACGCGTGTGGGGTACGCTGAGGTCTTCATTAGTATGGAATTCGCCAATTAGTAATTGAGAATACTGTGTAAAGTGTAACGCTAAACACTAGGTGAGTGTGTGATTGCTCATCTATCCAAATGTTGGGATGTAAATAGACGGCATGTCAGGGGATTCTTAACCATATGCCACCAGTATAGAACCAGGCTTGCATGCACACCTGTGCAGTCTGACCCCGCTCTATATACTGTTTGTTTGATAGCGAAATCCCTCTATTTTTAAATGGACATTCCAAATTCAAAGTAGAGCAAATCAATAATATAAATTTAGAAGGGTAAAAACATCTTTAATCACATTTGGTTAAATTGATGACTCCAGTTACCTGCTAATGCTATGGGTTATTTTCCAGAAATGTTAAATTCTGTCAGATAGGAATGCTTACAGCTGGTTTTAATTTGCTTCAGGCCATGAATGCTCTGGGAATTTAACACTTGTCAATTTATTTTATAATAGACATTTAATTTTGCTAAGATCGTTTAAGGCTGTCATTACAAATCATTACAACCCCAGTAAACCCACTAGGCAAATCAAAGGTAGCGGTATCTTACTTTAAATATACTTACCAGATATGGGACGTTTTCTGTCAACAAATTAAAGCAGCACGCCTCCAGATTCATGTTAAAATTTTCGCGAAATTTTTGGACAGTGTATTTAAAAGTAAACTATTGTGAGGTGAACAAACTAAAGTTATTTATATATTAACAAATCAGCAATTATAATCCAAGAAAATTACAAAAAAAGTGGTCCATATATGCAAAAAACAGCCCTTACTATGTTAATAACTCAGTAGAAATATGGTGATAAAATACTGCAAAATCAGTCTTAATCGCACATAACATGTAAAATATAACTTGGACCTTCAATATTTTTACCTTTCTTAAAATTTTAGTACATTTTTCGCGATGTTGATTTTCTTGAAATATTTTGGCTCATCTGTAGGAGTGCAGCTTTAAAGGCTGCACACGGTTTAACCTTACATGATTGTAAGTCTGGCAACAAAATGGGTTACAATTACTGGAGTCTAAGCATCCCTTAGCTCCAGCAGGTAAGGTGGTTTTATTGTGCCCCACTTTAGTGGCGGGCATTTAGATTTACCCTTGTCCGTCCTTCTGTCGTTTCTCTTTTGTGTCGCTTGTTACTCAAAAAGTATTTGACCTAGAGTCATGAAACTTTACAGGAATGTTAATCAGCATATGTTGTTGTGCACCTGGGTATTTTCGTCTGGATATTTTTAGTATTTTTATAGTTATTGCCCTTGACTTAGTAAAATTTTGCAATTTTTAACTTGTGTCATATGTAACTCAAAAAGGATTTGACCTAGAGTCATGAACCTTTTACAGGATGTGAATTCAAGCATGTTGTTTGTTTTCCACGCTTGGGTATTTTTGTCTAGGATATTTTTTTCATTTTTTTTAGAATTATTGTGCCCAATTAGTGGCGGGCATTTAGATTTTCGTTGTCCGTTACGTCAATTACCGTCCGTTCCGCGTCCCGTCTTCGTCGTCTTCGACGGTGCCGTACGGCCGTGAGCCGTTCATTTTGTGGTGCACGTAACTCAAAAGTATTTGACCTAGAGATATAGAAACTTTACAGGAATGTTGATCAGCATGTGTAGTTGTCCCATGGGTTGAATTTTCGTCTGGATATTTTTAGTATTTTCAGAGTTATTGCCCTTGACTTAGTAAATTTTGCAATTTTTCACCCTTGTTGTCGCATAGTAACTTAACTACCAAAAGTATTTTTGACCTAGAGTCATGAAAAACTTTTTACAGGAATGTTGAGTAACTACAAAAGTTATTTAGATACGGAGAGTCAGCATGTGTAGTTGTGACCTGGGTATTTTCGTCTGGATAGTTTTTTAGTATTTTTCAGAGGTTATTGGGCCTTTGCTTAGTAAAATTTTGCAATTTTCCAACTTGTGTCGGCATGTAACTTCAAAAGTATTTGACTAGAGTCATGAACTTTACAGGAATGTTGATCAGGCATGTGTAGTTGTGCACTGGGTATTTTCGTCTGGATCATTTTTAGGTATTTTTCAGAGTTATTGGCCTTGATTAGTAAAATTTTGCAATTTTTCAAACTTGTGTCCGCATGTAAGTCAAAAGTATTTGACTAGAGTATGAAACTTTACCAGGATGTTGAATCAGCATGTGTGTTGTGCACCTGGGTATTTTTCGTTCTGGATAGTTTTAGTATTTCAGAGTTTATTGCTTGATTTAGTAAAATTTTGCAATTTTCAACTTGTGTCGCATGTATATCACAAGTATTTGACCTAGAGTCTGAACTTTACAGGAATGTTGATGCACATGTGTAGTTGTGCACTGGGTATTTTCGTGTGCATATTTTTAGTATTTTTACCGAGTTATTGACCTTGACTTAGTAAATTGCAATTTTTAACTTTGTGGTGCACTATACTCGTGTGTAGAG